TGGATTTTTATATGTAGATACAAATTAAAGGTTATTTTCTTATACTGTATATATGTTACTACTCTTGTTTAAGCTAGTATACATATGCAGCTCATTTCATAATGTAACAATTTAGTTCTTAAAAATTATTTGGGCTAATAAGGAAAACAGAAACAGATTAGTGATTATAATAATGTTAGTTATGTTTTCAAGGTCAAACAGTCAGATTTTAAATAGACAGATGAGCTTTAAATATTTCAAAGACCTACAGATTATTGCATTTAAAATATTTTGATGACAAAAGATACTCATAACAGTGAGACATGTTTGCTCCTGGCAGCACCATTTTATTTCAAAAGAAAATGACAGGTATCAAAGCACCTCTATATGGTCTTGGCTTTCAACTGTGGCAAGGTTAGCCACTGGGCAAAGAAATTGCCCTTGCCTCAACTACTGACAGAATTCTGTTCAAATCAGACAAGCTCAACACAAAAGAAGACAGCTGTCAAACTTGTCCAAAATATGGTCTAAGATTCCTTCAAAATTCTTGTTTCACAGAAAAATCTGTCAGATATTTTAGGCCTGTAGGCTGAAAATGGACACCCAAACATTGCAGAAGAAACTTGGGTGACTGTTCAGGCAGCCAGATATTTCTGTCATTTCTTAGTTTTGTAAGTTGTTTGCTGTCCTATTCTTGTTACTCTAGTAATAGTTAGTTCTTCTCGGGTCTTTGATGGGGTTAAAGTCTAAATGGTTATAATTACCAATTCTCTTAGTCAGGATAGAAAGTAAATTAAGTACAAAAGTTTGAACTCATTAAAAGAGGATAGTTAATGGAATATTTTCCCTAAATTTGCCAAATACAAATAAACTAGACATTGTGTGTGTAATTGTTACCTGACAGTTGCTCTTATTGTATTTATTGTAATTTTATTATGTTAGAGCTAAAAGCATTCCTATTTACTTAGACAAAAAAGGCAAAATATTGTAGAATATTTCTTTATGGTGTGTGAAGATGTGCCAATAGCGAGGCAGGAAGAGTAAGACAGGACTTCTGGAGAATGAGAGGCCTTGGGGAAGAAGAGAAATGGAGTTGCCAGCAGGAAGCAGAGGCATCAAGATAGTCAAGAGGAGAGGTAAAAGCCACCACATGTCACTTGGCAACACAGAGATGAAAAGAAATGGATTACTTTAAGTTATGGGAGTTAGTAGAAACAAGCTAAGTTAAGGCTGAGCATTCATAAGTAATAATAAGTCTCTAGATCATGCTTTTGGGAGCTAGAATTCTAAGAAAAAAATTATCTACAACCAAGGAGACTCAAAGCAGTTGAATTTTGCCAGACAACAGAATGATTTAAAATGAGAGACAAGTTGGTAAAATACCTTGATTCCATGTTAAGAATAAGAATTAGGTCACATATTACTTTTTTTTTTCTTCGAGGCAGGGTTTCTCTGTGGCTTTGGAGCCTGTCCTGGAACTAGCTCTGTAGGCCAGGATGGTCTCGAACTCACAGAGATCCGCCTGCCTCTGCCTCCCGAGTGCTGGGATTAGAGGCGTGCGCCACCATCGCCCGGAGGGGCTCATTCCTTTTATACAGCACTTGAGAAGCTGAGACAGGAAAATTTCTAAGAATTCAAGGCCAGCCTGGGATACAAAATAAGATCCTGTCTCAAAACAACAACAACAACAACAACAACAAAATTCCTAAAAGAAACAAAGGAAAGCGAGGCGACAGGGAGGAAAGCAGGGAAGGAGCGCGCCTTCCAGGCATTTAGAATTGGTTATAAGGATGACTAATGAAGATCTCCAAGTAGTAATTTAATGCTTTACTGCAGCCACGGCACTAAAGCAAGGCTGACTACAAGTTCCTAGCAATCATGAATCATGAGTGGTTTGCCCGTGGTCCCCGCTTCCACCCCACCATCCCACGGCGTGGCATCAGATTTGTCACGGCTCCTTCTCCAGGGACGGCCAGTTTTCGAAAATGGTATTCACAAGGGCACTGCATTTTGCTTGGTTTTGTTTTTTTCCAGTGGTGCTGGGGATGGAACTCGGGGCCTTGTGTTAGACGGGTTCACTACCATTCAGCTATAAGCTTGAACATTACGTTTTTAAAGACCTATTTCTTAACCATGACATATGCCAATTATACAGCACACATGAAACCAAAATGCCACCCTCCCCTGCTGTAGTCTCCCTGTCCATCCTCCTCTGCTTTGCCCTTGCCCCTGGAGAAAACTTGCAGTCTCTATAATTGTCTCTGGAGAGAACCTGAGGTTCCAACTTGTGTGCTCCCTGGTCTCTCGCCCCCATCCTGGTCGCACGCTTCCCTGCCCTGTGTCATTTCCACCATGCCAGCGTGGACTACTAAAGCTTCTCCGGTCAGAACTCATTCCTTCCCCAAGGCTCTAGAGCAGATGTACGTTTCTGCTTGATGCGTGTCATCCCAGCCGCCATCCTCTGGGAGATGCTGAGGTGGTGTTTATCATCTGCCTGTCCTGCCAACCTCCAGGGACACTGTCCATGCTGAGGACAGTGACACTTGGAGCCCAGAATCCAGGCCTTGTTCAGAAGCTCATTGACAAGCCCTGAGACTTAATCTCGGATGACGGTAGTCGGAACAAAAGGTCTTTATGCCTCGGGAACTGCCTGCGCAGGAAGCAAAGAAGCAGCCTGAAAAAAAGCTCGGTGTTCCAGCTACTCTGTGAACTCTGTGTCTTCCATCGTTATCGCAGGCTACAAAATATCAAAATGTAAAAATATATCCCTTTTTATCTCTGTAATGCCGGGGAGTTATTCCCCGCCACTGAGGGTACCCTTGTGCTTTTCAAAGGGAAATAATCAGTCAAGAAAATACTCTGCGCTTGTTTAAAAGAATAAAAGATTGTGACTGCAGAACTTTAGCCAGATGGAGTAAAACTGTTGTTAGGTGTGGGGTGAGGGATGGGAGGGGGGGGATTGCTGGGGTGGAAGAGAAAGCAGGACGACAGGGAAGAAGCACCCTCTACAGGGTTAAAACCTACAGAAAACTTGCAGTAGCCAAGACAATGTGGTAGGAATAGAGGACCAGCAGATAGGGTTTGTTTGTTTTTTTGAGGCAGGGTTTCTTTGTGTAACAGCTGTGGCTGTTCTGGAAGTCAGAACCTGTTCTAGATCAGGTGGGCCTTGAACTCATAGAGATCTGCTACCTTTGCCTCCTGAGTGCTGGGATTAAAAAAAGTGTGTGCCACCACCAGCCGACTTTGAACAGATAATTTCATAGAACCGATGGAGGACTCAGAAACAGACCCATCGTGTACAGCCTGTCAAGCTTTTGATAGGGGTGTCAAAGCAGTTCAGAGGATTAAATGTGGCCTTTTCATAAGTGTTAAACAGTTTTATATAAAACCAGCCAACCAAAAAGGAATCTTAGCGTAAGGATGTGGCTTGGTTGGTAGAGTGTTATAAAGCATGCAAGTGGCGCTGGGCTCGATCCCCGCACCACAGGAAGCGGACATGGTGGTGGGAGCCTGTAATCCAGAACTCCAGAGACAGAGGCAGGAGGCTCAGAAGTTAAAGTGCATCCTTAGCTAGATAGTGAATTTGAGGCCAGCTCGGGCTACAAGATTTCCTGGACAAGAAAGAGAGAGAGAAAAAGAGAAAGAGAGAAGAAAAAAGAAAGAAAGAAAGAAAGAAAGAAAGAGAAGCCTTGAACTGAATTTCAGGCCTTCTATAGAAATTGACTCAAAATGGATTGAGATTCAAACAGATCATGTAAAACTAAACAGGTTTAGAAAGCAACAGGAAAAAAAAATTAAATCAGGGGTTAGTAAAGAGTTGTCACATACAACAGCCAAAACATGAAACACGAAAGAGAAAATTGACACACATGCCTGGAATTGCACTCACCAGACTCCTGCTGTTAGTGGCAGCTAAGGGGACAGAGGAGCCTGTGTTAGAGAATGCCCAGGTATTTTAGTGATTGCTTCAGTTCCTTCCTGCAGCTGCACTCTTTGGCAGCAATGATTTAGGGCACCGTTGACCCACAGCAAATCCTGTCCTAACATAGGGTGATTGCTGACAGAAATCAGTCCCATGTTTTCCCGTTGTGGGTGTCCTGCAGTAATGCTGCCATCTTAGACAGAGAAGTGATAGAGAGAAGCGAGGACCAGCCCAACAACGCCAGGAACACAAACCACAGCTCCGACTCCATAGGCACGGGTCTTCCCTGAGAGGGGGACACGGTGCTCACTTCACAAGGAGGCCCACAGCAATGTCTCCAGCATAGGATCCCCAAATCTACAATTTTGACGTCCAAAGTAAAAACTGACTCCAATGAGGACAAGCTTTTAAATTCATGTTTTCAGACCTTTGAGATGATCCATCACTAGCTTTCTGGGTATAACCCCAACTGCCAGGGCTGTGCAGGCAGCCAGTCCCCAGGGCGTAAGGCAGTAATAAAGTACAAGGATGGTAGCTGAGCCTCTCACCTCACCGAATCTTCCCGCAACCCATCTTAGCGAGGATCACGAGATGATGCATTCACAATCGAATATTTCCCACCTCAAAGGCTGAAACCCACGGCTCCAAGGAGGGCCCTGGAAGATTTACTTCCAGATTTACACCAGCTGGAGCTGGGTGTGGTGGCACAAATGTGTGACCCCTGCCCTCAGGAGGCTAGCCCGGGTTATAATGTGAACTTATCTCAAATAAACAAAACACATCTTTTAGGATGTGTTCTTTACCAGCCTACAATGAGTAAAGGCATGAGCTAGCAGGCGGCCGGGGAGCTGGGGACGCAGCCCCCGCCGCTCCTATTTCAACACATAGGCTGCAGTCAAGGAGACTTTGGCCCAAGATTGTGGGACCACCCGGCCTCCTCCCACCATGAACAGGGATAAAAGACTCTCTCATAGGCCTGGTGAGGGGATGGAGAGCATAGTTCACCCCTGGGTGCACAGAGAACTCTGAACCAAGGCCAGTGTCCTCCTCTGCATTTTCAGAGACTCATAGGTTGTCCCAGGTGTCATAAAAGCTTCAGGGACAGTTAAGAGGCAGCACGAGCGGCCTGTTACCTTTGGTCTGGATTCTATCCGGGAATATAGCAGGAACGTATGCAGGTCTCCGTATTTCATGAAGGGTAAAACCACCATGGGCTTTGGGATGCCTTGAGAGCTCATTTCTATACACACGCCTGAAATTAAAAACAGGACCGGTTACAAAGAGCTCTTGTTAGGTATGAACACGTAAGCCCTGGAGGCCACCAGCCAAACTGGAGCCATGTGCTACCAGGTCAAGAGGTGAAAAAAATCAAAGGTTCAGAACTCTCACAGTGGATTCTAGCATATGGAACACCTGCAGGCTGCAGGACTTTCTCTCTCTCTCTCTCTCTCTCTCTCTCTCTCTCTCTCTCTCTCTCTCCCTCCCTCTCTCCCTCCCTCCCTCCCTCCCTCCCCCCTTCCCTCCCTCCCCTTTTTCCTTCCTTTCTTTCAGGTTAGGCTAGCGTTTGCAAGAGAACTCTCAAAACTCGACCTGTTACAAGAACAGACAACTTGAAACCAAGGAGTTTTGTGTTCTGCTTTGGTTAGACTAAATCACGGAGGGGCACAGGCCTCAGAGAATCTGAGGGCAAATTAGTTAAATACGCCTATGAAAAAGTCTACTGTAACCAGATGCTTAAAGTTATTAAGTATTTTTGAGGGCCTGTAGGTAAAACCCCTCTTTCTGAACTTTTGGTGATTGAAGTTACAATGCCTTAGCATGGAATTCTCCAATGCGCTGGTCACCTGATCCTAGGCTTACAAAGTGTAGGTATCAAGCAAAGTTGAATGTCTCTCCTAGTCTGTCTGCTAAAGCCACTAACTGCAAACAATAGCTACTTCTTTGACATTCGATTTTATCCAAACCTTAGCTTCCACATCTCTACAGCATCAGCCATAGAGAACGTTGAAAGATCACTAAGAGATTTATTATGGCCCCGGGCAGGGAAGAAAAAGGCCAGTATTTCTACACTGTTTCTCTGTTTCAGAATAGTGTCCCTTGCACATCATGTACTGATACCTATGTGTATTTTTTAACATTGATATAAAACCAAATTTCCTTAAATTTCCTTAAATTATGAAATAGTCAATATGCCGTGATTCACAAGTTGGCTCATAAATTATTTCTCAAAGACTGAAATGTCTAGGTTCATAGCATTACTTCACTGGTTTTCAATTCACAGACAGCCTCCACCCCACAAAGACTATCACGGTACTAGCTTTGGTGTCTTGCCTTTGGGTCGCCGGGGGCTATTTTAACTGACAATCTTCTAATTCCTTGGACACTCTCGCTATCTCTAATTCTGTCAGCATCCAGAAAACACAAACCCATTTTTACTCTCAGCCTTAGGAGGCAGGACGAACCCAGGGTTGTGATTTTTGGTATAAACCTCTCTACACCAGAACTTTTCCTTTTCTTCTTCAGTATTCAGTGGGCCAGCAAAGCCCCTCCCAGGCTCACTCTGCCAACCCCCTGAGGTAAACCCTTCCATCCTCGCTCTGGCATCTCCCTGAGGTACCTAGGAGCCGGATGACGTTTGGGTGGTTGAAGTCTTTCATGCACGCTGCTTCACTGAGAAACTCCTCGATCTCCCGGTGAGAAAAGTTGTCCACTAGAGGAGCAGATGGAAAATGCAAGGCATGATCAATGTTCTCAATTTAGAGGAGGGGCCAGAAACGGCACTCTTGTCCAGTAAAACCAAAATCCACACCCGGCTTCATGGTGCACTCTTAACTCTGAGGGAAGCTGAGGTGGGAAGACTCAGAGGCCAGCCTGGGCTAGATAACAAGACCCTGTCTCTAAAAGCAAAGCAAAATAAAACAAAACAAATCCCCCTCTCAAACAAAAATAAAAACTCCTAAAATCAGGAAAAGGCAAAACTACAGAGACAGGCAAGAGTCCTCGTAGTGTTTGGGGGCTGGGAGAAGAGAAGAGTGAAGCCAAAGGGAAAACCTGAGGGAATGTTAGGCCATGCAATTCTTCTGCATAATGTCATATGGGGATCATAGACCACTCATGCACTTGTCAGACCCATAGAACTATACAAGACCAGCAGTAAACACTAGCAAAAACAAAGAACTTCAGTCAATGATTCAGCGTGAGCCCAGCAATTGTATGATATGCTAATGTATGATGGCTGCTTATTACACTAAAGAGAAGTTGTGTGAGGGATGGGGACATAGGGCGACTGTACAGTTGTTCTGCAAACATAAAACTGGTCTTAAAATGTGCACTTAATAGACTTTTAATTTTAATATTAAAGGAAAAAAAAATCTCCCCAAATCCAAAGTGATTTCCAACTGGTCTGTCTCAATTACCTTTGCTCCTCCTTGCTATGGATGCACGCCCAGGTTCACGATGACTAATTGTTAAATCACGCCTGTGAACCGGGTGCACTTCATACCAAAATTTTGAAATGTAACCAATTTAAGAGAACTATTTATGATTTAATATTGGCCCATCAAGACAGCTTGGTGGATAAAGGGCTTGCCCCAAAAGTTTGATGACCTGAATTTGATCCCTGGGAATGCACAAGTTATTCTCTTGTCTCTGCTCACGTGCCGTGGTCCAAAATTCAATATTAGGCTATATAAAACAAGCCAGTCCCTACAGAATAAATCCTATTTGATTTGCGGGCAGTGCTTAGAGTGACAAAGCCAGACAGGAAGTAGAATGGCTACTTCCTGGGTAGGGCAGGGGAGTGGGGAGTATAGAATGTCTGTCTGAAAAGAGGGGAAGTTTAAGAGCTGGATGGTGGTGCTGTGTCCATGGCAACATGAAGGTCCGACATGCCACTGGCCTACACATTTAAAAATGGTGAAGATGGTAAATTTTATTTTGTGTATATCTTACTATAATGAAGAATAGACAAAACATAAGGCTAGACATGTCTTGAGGGATTTCTTTACCAGGGTGTAACTTGTGACTTAAAGGGCCTGAGGGTGCTATTCTAAGGGTTTACTATATATTTATCTCATCCAGGTACAGAAGACTTAGAGAAAATATTTTAAAACCTTTACATTTGTAACAGATCTGTCACCTTCTTCCTCATTGCTTCCCTTTGCTTCAGAGCTCCAGGGGACCCAACAGCAGGTGGGGACGGAGGTCTGCCTGTCAACCCTAGGCAAATGGCGATTCGGGAGTCTTGCCTTTTTTTTTTTGGTAAGTTTGAAACATATTTATTTCCCCACCTCATCAAAATTATGTCCCCTCCGGAAACCAGTACTCGTGAGTGACTCTGTCATCCCGTGGACAATGCCAGTCTTTGGTCACAATGTCAAGAGCTCTTGGCGAAGAGTCTAATAAGCTCTCTTTAACATGCCCTAGTTTTTATTTTATTTTCCACAGTGCTTGAGATCGAACCCAGGGCCTAGTGCAGGCTAGCTGAGTGAGTACTCTAAAACTGAATTACGTGGAGAATCTGAAGCCAGAGGCTAGCCTTACACTCTTAGGTAACCAGCATGATATAATCCACGAGGGAGCTATTCTGAGAAGTGGCCCCACTTCAGACCAATCCCTGGGGTCAGTACTAACATCCCCCTGCCTCAGGAATTCATGCTTTACTTGGGGATCATTAACTGTACTAAATAATGGGGGAGGATGCGGGAGAGAAGTAATAGAGTTGGTGGCTGCTTCGAGCAGGAAGAGTACACCAGGCACGTGCACACCGAGAGCGCATCACGTGCTTCTGAGGTGACCACGCTCCCACATTGCCTGGCGGCTCATCAGCAACTGAGACCAGAGCACAACCCCTGTTCTACCCGGGGCACCGGATATGGAGGTAACTGCCCACCCTGGAAGCATGGGTCCCATGCCGGCCACTCACACTTCATGGTCTTCACCGCTACCTTCTGAGATGTCCCATCTTCCTGCTTCAGATTGCCTTCCATTACAGACCCAAACTCTCCTGTGAAGTGAAGCAACATCCATGTGATGCTGGGCAGACGCCCCTCCTGACCACAGGAATGCAGAGCTGTGTGGTCCCGGAGCGACTCAGCCGCAGACACCGGGCAGGGCCTGCTCAGACACCTGCACAGCAGGGCAAACACTGGTGTCGTGAGTGTGAGTGGTCAGACTTCGCTTAGCTTGCCCCTTCACCAACCACCACAACCGACCCAGGAGACTTACAGGGAAACATGGAAATGTTACTGAAGATCACAAAACTGTCTTTTTTACCCCCAAGGGCTAGAGAGGGAGCTCTCAGGACCTTGTACATGTTAGGGGGGCACTCTACCACAGAACTACATTCCCGGCCCAAAGCATAAACTCAGTAAATAATACTATCATTCATGCTAAAAGCAGTTTTAAAATTTAGGTACATATTTTTCATCTACCGAAGTAGATCAGTGCTTTCAAGTGTGTAGAACTCTGACCAATCAATAGATAATAATAATAAACAATAATTAATGAATCACACACTCTGCAACAAAGGAAGGGAATTCATACTTCCAAAACTTACTCCGTTCCAGGGAGTACAGGTGCCTCTTACGTATGTCATATCTGAATTTCAAAAATGCTCCCCTTTTAAGCTCCAAAGAAGAATTCTTTGTATTATAACTCCAAGTAATAAAATCGGTATCTTAGTCAACGAATACACATTAAAAAACAAAACCCTCAACTGCTCCTTGAGTCAAATTTTAAAAAGAAGTGCTTTGAAGTTGCTTACCTTCACCCAGAATTTTCCCAAGAATTAGAAGGTTTCTGTCAATCACGACATCTTCTAGTTTATTTTGCAGCTCCTCGCTCACCCCCAAGCTGTGCACTACAAAGGAGCGATGGCGTAGAATCAGCAGTGTGCTCTCTTCATTAAATACAAGCAGACGTATATGGGAAGTCCTATACATAGCTACACATTTTCCCTGCTTTGTACTCGTGTTAAAAAGTCTACACTCCAGTCTACTGTGATTGGGTGAATAAATTAATCCTTCAAGGCAAAATCATCTACAAACAGCTATAAAAACGAGAGCCACACTTCCCTCCCCTTTTCACAAGTGCAGCTGTCCACACTGAGATTTGTGCAGAAGTCCGCTTCTGACTCTAGAGGGGTTAGGGAAGCATACCAACGGGCACAGGCTGGTGGATAATGTATCCCTATTTATGGTATAGAAAAGAGCCATGAGGACATCTCCCATGCCAGCCAGGGAAAACATAGGAAATATCCAGAGGAAAAAACTGTCCTTGTATATGTGGTGTGTGCCATCTCATTCTAAGAAACCAGGCTAAACTGAATACGTCAGGGGTTTGGAGAATAAGACCGTCTGCAGCAAGTAGGTAGAATATAATCAGGTGTGCAGCACCAGGGAGGGAGAACCGCTTAAAGACGGACTGGCAGATGATTCAGCCTGGGCTACAGCTGAGGCATGAGCAACCTTTGAAAGAAATGAGCCTGAAAATTGAAAGGGAGGTGTTCACTCCTAGAAAAAAATTACTCAATTTTTTTTTCTCCAATAGAGGGACAAACTGTCTAAATGAATAATTTTTAAATGCAAGAACGGGGACATCTAAAGATAAAAAAAAAACTTGGTTAGAAAAGTAATTAATACTGTTGCACACCAAATAAGTTTTGATTCGCAGTAGCCTGTATTCCGTCAGGCTATGTCCTGCTTTGCTTTGTTTTATTTAGTTTTGCCAAGTAGCATGGATTTGACAATGTTTACATTCTTTGTACATTGCTCCTGAAATTGTATGTTTACCCTCCCCCCGTCAAAAAAAATCAGAACCCCCACTCCCACTCATCAGAGGTCAAAACTTGCAATAGCTCAGCAGACTGTCCTTTGAGTTAGTGGCCAGGACAACAGGAAGTGAGGCTGAAGATTATGTCCACTGTTTTGTGGCTTCCAACCTCTGCCCTCTGCCCCATCTCCCACCTCCCCCAAGGTTTTCCCTTTCCTTGTTGTTCCATGGGATTCTGGATCCTTAACTTGTTTCTTAACACCAGATTCACTTCTAATTTCCAGTAGCCTGACCAGGAGAGACTGATATGGCAATATCTGGTCATGTCCTTGTTAGCTTCTGAATGTTAAAACTATCTACCCCACCCGGGTATAGTGGCCAATGACTGTAAACTCAGCACTCAGGATAGAGGCAAGACCATATCTCAGAAGAACAAAACAAAAAACCCATATATGTGTGTATACACACATATATATTTATATCTTGGAAAAATACATACATAAACATACTTTTTTTTTTTTTTTTTTTTGGTTTTTCGAGACAGGGTTTCTCTGTAGCTTTGGTGCCTGTCCCGGAACTAGCTCTTGTAGACCAGGCTGGCCTCAAACTCCCAGAGATCTGCCTGCCGAGTGCTGGGATTAAAGGCGTGCGCCACCACTGCCCGGCTCATAAACATACTTTTTTCTTTCTTTCCCATTCTCTTTTCTTAGCTTTCGTTAAGAAACTTATCTTGGCTCTCCACTATTCTAACTTTTGCCAAAAAGTGAAAGGAAAGTCAGCTTACGGGTAAGCTCGATGGCTCGCCGACAGAAGGACTTCTTTGCTATGTAATTTACGACTAATTGGGAATCCTCCTCAGAGAATGCACCCCTGCACAAAAACAAAGATATCCAACCATAAAAACAGGGTAACAGACCCATGTGCCGCCACCACAAGGATGTTATGGTGTCGCCGGTGTGTATAGAGGGTTCTTCTGCAGCCAGAACACTTCCCTGCTTGTGGGAGAGAGCTTGCGTAGCAGGTGAGAGGCCTTGGGTTTGATTCTGAATACTACAGGGGAAGAAGTCATAAAAACCATTTCCCACTGGGAAAAATAGACTGCTTTTCTTGAATCTATTTTAGCTCTACCAGGTAATAGCAAACCGTCTCTGCCCAGATATCATGAAGGACATATAAAAGGGCTGGGTATCAATGCAAGTATGCTTGCCTACCACGGCCAAGGCCCTGGATTCAAGCCCTATACCATACTTACATGCAAACATGATTATATATGTAAATATCTTATAAAAAAGAATAATACATTTTAAAGTTATTTACTTACTTTTCTGTGTACAATTGTTTTGCCTGGATGTACACCATTGCTCCAGCCCCAGCAAGCCTTTGTCTTAAGGTTCATGTTTTGATTATTTAAAAAGTATTAGGTGGAAATGGGTGTATCTATGTGAGTACCCGAGGAGGTCAGAAGAGGACATAAGACCCTCTGGAGCTGTAGTTACAGGTGGTTGTCATGGCGCTTAGAACTGAACCCAGGTCCTCAGCAAGAGCAACAAGTGCTCTGTAACTGTAGAGCATCTCTTCATCCTGACTCAGCATCTCAGCTGACAGAACCCAATATTTTTAACTCAGGCTTACAACAGTTAGAATTGGTAATGACCTTGGAGTCCACTGAGAGACGGATAATAGCAAGGAAGTTGGGCAACGTTAAAAGGCTTGTCTAAAGTGACAGAACTGGGGCTGGAGAAGGAAAAGAGGGGTTTAAATTGGAATGTTCGGATACAAAATGGTCTCTATTTGAAATAGCCAAGGAAGGGAGGGAAGGAAGAAGGATGAAACAGAAGAAATGAAAAGCAAGAGTCAAGCTACCTTCAGCCACCCAGGGACGCTAATACCTCGGCAATTGTCCCTATGTCCCCTCTACATACAGTCAGGCATCTTTCTCTGAAATGACTGGACCAGGAGTTTCAGGCCTTTTTCAGATTCTGGAATCTTGGAACCAAATCTAAGCATGAAGCTCATTCCAATTTCACACCTACTTCACACACAGCATGAGGTAGATCATGCTTGTAATCAAACAGCATGAAAGTAGATCATGCATGAAACAAAATTTCCAAATATGGCATCCTGTTCCACTGTTTCCAATTGAGCCAGTTTGTAAAAGGTCATATTTTTGGTTTATGGATGTCTGGGTTATACTGTAAAAAAAGAAATAACTGGGGGCTGGGGAGATGGCTCAGTGGTAAAGTGCTAAGTGTGTAAGCATGAGGATATGGACCCCAGGTCCACATAAAAGTTGAGTGTGGTGGTGTGTGCCTGTAGCCCCAGTACTGGAGGTAAAGAGAAAGACAGAACTTCCCCCAGATAACTGGTCAGTCTGTCTAGACAAAACGGTAAGACCTGGGTTTAATGAGAGAGCCTGTCTCAAAAAATATAATGGAGGGGCCTGTGAGATGGCTCAGTGGGTAGAGGTGCTTGCTGCGAAGCCTGCCAACCTGAGTTCAATGTCTGGGACCCACATGTGGAAGAAGAGAACGCTTGCACGTTGTCCTCTGATCTCTTTATATGTACTGTGGCATTGAGCACACACACATACACAGACACACAAAGAAGTTAAAAAAAACCCACCTTTTTTAAATTTTTAATTTTTAATAGTGGTGAGGAACAGGAGAAAACACTGGATGCTGACCTCTGGTCTTCACACAGGCATGCAGAGAGAAAGTGCAGTTGCACACACACCTGTACCCATGTGCATACATCACACACACAATAACTGGGTCATTTTGAAAGCTTCTCATTCAACACCACCCAGTTAGCATAGCGTGTCCTACTGAAGCTTGTCTCTGGAAAAGAGCTGGCTCTCGCAGTTGCTGACTTTGTAGGAACTGATCTAAGAAGGGAAGTCATCTGACTCTGGGGCCTGCACGGGATAGGACAAGGCAGAAGCCCAGCCAGCCAGCTGTTATCATCTGTCATAACAACCTCACCAATAACACAGGGTTAAATATATATATATACACACACACATGTGTATGTATGTATGTATATATATATATATATATATATATATATATATAGAGAGAGAGAGAGAGAGAGAGAGGGTCTCATCCATCCCAGCTCTACATAGACCAGGTTGGTCTCAAACTCACAAAGATCTGCCTGCCTCTGGCTCTGGCTCTCCTGGGATTAAAGGCGTGCTCCATCACGCCTGCTCAAGGTTAACATTTTTAAGTTGCAAACTTACCCAAACTTTGTTTCCTGGACTCTTCTTCTGATGGCCAGAGAAATATACAAAATCAACCCGATTAAAACAAATCCACAAAAGCAGCCAAGAATGATGAGCATGGACTCCGTGTTGCCAGGCGCTGGAGTCGACGAGGGTGCGTAATCGGCCCTACCTGGGACAGATCCAGAGACGTTAATTGGAACTAATCCCCAGGGATTCAGAACACGTAGGATACACAGGCTTGCAATCCTTTAATGTTTTGTGATCGGTGAATGCAGGTCGTTCTCAATGCAAGGCGAAATGATGCAGTTACAGCTATCAATGCAACTAGGAACTGGAGGGCTGGCTGCTCTTGAGGAAGACTCAGGTTCGGGTCCCAGTACCTACATAGGTGCATAGCACGGCTTGACACTCCAGCCTGAAGGCTTCCATTGCTCTCCCCAGACCTCCATGGGCACTGCTGTGCACCAAGAAAATGTTAGGTTTAGGGCTGGAGAGATGGTTCAGCGGTTAAGAGCACTGGTTGCTCTTCCAGAGGACCTGGGTTCAATTCCCAGCACCCACATGGTAGCTCACAACTGTCTGTAACTCCAGTTCCTGGGGATTTGATATCCTCATGCCAATGCACATAAAATTAAATGTGGAAGCCATGAAATCCAGTTGCTATAAAGAATGTGGATCCAATTAAATGCATTATTAAAAAGATTTAAGAAAACAATGAGACTAGTTTTATTGTCTCACTCCACAGTATATGCCTGTCAAAACAACACATGGAACTCAGCAAACATATACACCTTTTTCTTGTCAATTAAAAAAAAAAAAACCCAAACGACAAACTTGTTTCATGTTGGTAATAAATGCAGAAGAAAATAAAAATTTAGTAAACCTAATTTTTTCTTTCTTTTTTTTCCAAAGGAAGTTTTTTTTTAAATTTATTTTTAATTTATTACACATTGGGAGTTTGCCTTCATATACATCTGTATGAGGGTATACATCCCCTGGAGCTGAAGTTACAGACAGTTGTGAGCTGCCATGTAGGTGCTGGGAATTGAACTCTGGTCCTCTGGAAGAGCAGCCTGTGCTCTTAACCACTGAGCCATCTCTCCAGCCCTAAACCTAACATTTCCTTGGTGCACAGCATTTGGTGCACCATTTCCCTTCCAACCCACCCGGTTCATCTCTTGCTACCTTTCATGTTTTCTCATTAATTCCTTCTGTCAACTATCCATGTCTGTACAAATCACTCGGATTTGGTACTGGGAGGCAAGGAAGTCACACGGACGTGTGTCTTGGCCAACTGTGTGAACTGAGTGACAGATGTGGGAGCCAGTCACCGGCAAGCTTGGAAACACGTGATAAGACTACTGTAGAGAGGCTGCACAGTAACAAGGCAAGCAGTAGCCTCAAACAGAGCAGAAACAAACGTGGCAAACCAACCATGCCACTCAGAGGCAACTAAGGACTAACAGCATTGCCTGCCCAGATTACAGTGCCGTGGGCCTTGGAGCAAATTCAACAGGTAAAGCCCAACTTAGTATTCTAAAAGGACGAAGCTTCCTCAGGAGTTTTGCTCCTTCATCTGTCACTCAAGATGACGAGAGGCTGTGTGTGATGACAATTCTCAAAGGAGGGTAGCTGAAATTTGAAATATATTGCTGGGAACTGGTGCTACTTAGACTGTAGTAATGGGCGCTTTTACGGGTGATTCTGCCTATGAGGCAACCTTTACAACCTTCTACAGTTTATGACACATAGAAACGGAAGTCCTCCGGTTGTCATTTCTGACCCTTAAGAAGGATGGGTCACTACTGATGTGTGTATTTGCCAACGTGTGCATGCATTAGTGCACATGCGTGTGGATACCCATGGAGACCAGAAAAGGACATCAGATCCCCTGGACCTAGAGTTATAGGTTGCTGTAAGCTGCCTGATGTGGATGCTGGAATCTAAGCTCCGGTCCTCTGTAAGAGCAGTAAGTGATCTTAATTGCTGTTCTAAACCTTGGTTTGTGAAGCTCTAGCATGAGTTCTGACAGGTCTTAATAATAAAACACAAGTGGAGAGGTAAGGTGGCTGTGGTTTTGCTCCTTCATCTCTCTGATCTCTCAGCATGTCCCCCAATATCTGACTCGGGCTTTTATTATTAAGACCTATTAGAACTCGGGCTACATAAAGCTGTGCCTTCTGATGCTGAATCTCACTGTCTTTGACTTTCTTCCAGGTAGACACCCTTGGTCTCTCTAGCACCACAGAGTATGTTCCTCCGGAATGGAGTCTAGCTCCAATTTGTACTAAAAGGAGAGTTTGCCTGGGGATCACTGGGAAAGAGACAGACACAAATGAGTCATCTGTTCTCAAATCTCAACTGCTATTGGGTGCAAAGGCCGTGTTTGGCAAGAACTCGCAAGTGAGTAAGTCATGCTGGACGAGATGGCTGGGCACGGAGCCTCGGGTGGGTTGGAGTCAGGACAAAAGGTAGCTCCCCCTGATTTACAGAAGTGTGAGCATCACGGTGGCTCCTTGACAAAGAACATTCCAGCAATAGGCAAGAGCTAATATGCATGGCTGGGCATTTAGCTCAGCTAGTCAGGGCTGCATGAGGAGGGCGTTTGGAGGAAACACTCGATGTTCTATGCAGACTAAGTCGCTGAGCGCATTACCCAAGGGTTGAGCGGGTAAAAACAAGGCAAGCAGTAGCCTCAAACAGAGCAGAAACAAACGTGGCAAACCAACCATGCCACTCAGAGGCAACTAAGGACTAACAGCATTGCCTGCCCAGATTACAGTGCCGTGGGCCTTGGAGCAAATTCAACAGGTAAAGCCCAACTTAGTATTCTAAAAGGACGAAGCTTCCTCAGGAGTTATTAGTGTGAACAGTAAAGGCAGGAGTGTCGGGGTTCTGTGGATTGTATTCTAAAGTTCCTTATGATTGCCACAATGCATTTTGGTTCTTATTTTACACTTGTCAATCAGCCACCGTCGCACTGGTCCCACTTAGGCAGTCCGGGAGCTGCTCAGACTGCTACGTTCTGCAGCCAACAGGGGCCCCTGACTCACTGTATTCAGGAATGATTATTTTCATTGGCTCGCTGAAAGGTCCAACACCCCCTTTAGTGATGGCTGCAATCCTCACTGTGCAGGTAGCATTGTAGATTTGGACAGGAATCTGAGCCAAGCTGCCATTCCGACTGACTTCTTCAGAAAGTTCTTTCTGGTAAAAGAGAGAGAGAAAAAAAAAAAAAGGGAAATGAAACATTGGGGCAAGCGGGGACCTCACTAGACAGCTGCCCACATGCCCAAAGTTCCTGCTGAAGGAAGCCACCCATTTTCCACGCACAGAGGTCATGCTTCACATAGTTCCTTCTTCACAAGGGCCATGGCTGGTGCCACTACATGATGGATCATAGAGCTGGGAGTAGGGAGGGGCTGCAGCAATCTCCAAACCTTGGGAGCCTTGGGAAACTAAGATCCTGAAGGCATGACACCTACAGCGGTCACTTAAGAAACTTCTGGCACAGAGGGGACACATAGTGGATGTTTCTAGATCAGAGATCCGCAACCTTCCTACTGTTGCAACTCTTTAATACAGTTCCCAACCACAAGATCATTTTGTTGCTGCTTCACGACTGTAATTTTGCTACTGTTATGAACAGTAATGAAAATATCTGCTATGTGCAGGATACCTGGTATGTTCCCCGAAGAGGTCACAACACACAGGTTGAGAACCATTATCTGGATGCTAAGAGCAGGACTGAACCCTTGCGATCCCATGCGCAAAATCTTCCCTTTGGCACAATGCCACAGACTTACATTGTTCCTGGGTACTATCCTTGGTTTAGCCAACCTTCTGTTCCCTGAAGTCCTGAGGATTCTCAGTAAACTCTCTAGATGGATGGAGAGGGGAAGTGGTTGCATTTCCCTCCTCTTCTTGTCAAATGGACAATTTGTACGATTTGAAATCGTTTCTTCTTATATTTGTTCATTTTATGTGCATGAGTGTTTGTTTTGCCTGCATGTATGCCTCTGTACCGCATACATGCCTAGTACCCACGAAGGTCAGAAGAGGGTGTTGGATCCCCTGGAACTGAAATTACAGACCGTTGTAAGCCACTGTGTGAATGCTGGGAATGGAGCTTGGGTCCTCTGGAAGATCAGCCAGTGCTCTTAACCACCCAGCTACCTCTCCAGCCCCAATCGGCGCAATTTTTGAAGAATATTTGAAGCCTGGGTTTACTTTCACTGCTGCTGGTTTAAAGCCTTTGTCATGCAACAGTGAGACGTAAAAGACCCAGGGAGAGAAACAGCCTTAACCGACGTGTTCCTCAGGTTCTCCAGACCTCCACGGTCACAAAGCTCTCTGCTGTGGGAAATGTATTTGGACCTGGAGTTTTTATTTTTGCTATTTTTGAAATCACAATATCATCACGTTTCTGCTTTCTCCTTCCTCCCTCTAAACCCTCTCATAGACCCCCCACCTTGTTCTTTTTCTAATTCATAGCCTCTGGTTTTTTTTTTTTAATCACAGTTGCTACGTGCTTATATGTATTGACATGCTACTTGTATGTATGTTTTCAGGACCAAATGAAGATGACATCAATAGACATGCAGAAGTGAATGGGGAAAGCCCACGAGGCTCCAGCCCCACACAAAGAACTGCAAGCTTAAAGAAGGGCGGAGTGAGAGAGACCGTCTTCCCCAGGGAAGATCACAGCAATTGATAATCCAGTACCAAACGGGCAGCTTTTTGAAGGGACAATCATGTGTTTGTCAGTCTGGAATGAGGCTCTGGGAACCTCTTCAGCCCTGGATGGTGGACTTTTGATGTCATAGGGTAATAGCAGGTCATGTGGGGTATAGGTACCACAAACCATCGTTGGACTGGAGGCATGGTTGCTGCTGGTAACTTCATCTCAGGTTCAATGGGTTTCAAGCCAGTCACTTCTAGAAATGGTACAGGATAGAGCTATCTCAGCCTCAGGGACAGGACAGGCCGGTCATTCACGACCAAGAAGCCATCTGGTTTGGCCTTCTAGAGCTATTTCCGAATCTAAACCGGAAGTGACCCTTAAGTCTCGGGAGGGAAAGAAACAAAAAGAGAGATATCACCTCCTGTCCTTCGGCCACAGGCCTGAGCTCATGGGTGTGCCAAAGATTTCTGTTGTTAAATAAACACAAGAAAAGTTAGCCATGGTGGGGCTGCATAGCCTAGGTTGGTCCTTTTTAGAAAGGAAGTGTTTTATTTTGTTAGTGGGTGACTTTGTAATTCTGTCTTTAATTTGGGGGTAGATAGAACTGAAAATCATCAGTTAGTGTAACTCCAGTCCACACCCCGAGTCCCGGAGCCGGGTCTCATTGAGACAGAGGCTACGGCATAGCTCTCAGCCTGACTGCTCTTTTAGCTTAAGACTTCATGCTAAAAAGAAAACTGGCCCTGCATCTGGCTGTATACTGGTTTTTCCCACGAAGACTCAAATATGATACATTGTTTATAAGAGAAATTACCTATAAATCAAAAGGAAACACACAACTAGGAAAAGATTACCTATCTAGACTAGTATAAATCCTAGCAAGAGTGAAATTAAAAAGAAATAAATGTAACAGTCCATTTATTCCTTGGGATCTACAGCGTTGGTACCCCACACAAAACGGCTAGGTCTGTGTTCAGCGGTGGGTCCACGCTTAGCTGAAGTGACGCTTTGGGTTTCATCCTCAGTGCGCGAACACAGACACAGTATGATTTTATACAACTCACTGTATATTCTTTTGTCAAAAACTAAAATATTTTGAGAATTTCACACAAGTATTTACCTCATTTTCCCCACTCTCTCTCAAATGGTAAGCTCTTCCTTAATTATTCTCTCTCTCTCTCTCTCTCTCTCTCTCTCTCTCTCTCTCACACACACACACACACACACACACATTTATATACAAATACAACCCTCTGCATCCACTTAGTGTTGTTCATATGGTCATGTATTTAAGGCTGCCCACATGCATTGGATAACCTATCATGGGGCTCATCCCCGGAGAGAACGGATTCTTCCCCCTCAGCAGCCAGGAATTGTTTGTAGCTTTTCACCTAGGAGTGGAGCTCTGTGAGAGCTCCTCAACCCACATCGGCATGTGTACCTCCTTTGATCATGTGCACTATCCAATAAACTGTTAACAGCTGCTCTATTACTTATAGTTTTTAACAGTGTGCGTATTCATGTAATATTGCTATTGTTATTAGATTGTTTCGGGAATAATGATCCAAACAAATTTTTTTTTTTTTAAGACAGGGTTTCTCTGTATGGTTCTGGCTGTCTTGGAACTAACTCTGCAGACCAGGCTGGCCTCAAACTCACAGAGATCTACCTGCCTCTGTCTCCCAAGTGCTGGGATTAAAGGCATGCACCAACCATTGCCTGATTCAAACAAAATTTTTAATACTTTTTTTTTTTTGTCCTATGGGGCAAAGCCAGTGTTTGTGCATTCTGAACATATTTTCTAGTACTGAAACACATTCCTAGCCTCAAAAAACAATGGTTTGGTGATATCTATATCTATATATCTATATTCTCTCAGCGATGGGGAGGTAGAGGGAGGAGGATTGCTAAAAATCCCAGGCCAGCTAGGGCTACCTAGCAAGGACCTGTTTCAGATAAAACAACAAAAGTGAATATTTTGATATAGAGGCTTACTTTGTAGCCCCTGGCTGGACACTCACTATGCAGACCAGGCTGGTTTTGAACTGACAGCAATTTTCATAACCATAATTTCTCAGTGCTAGAATTACAGAACAACCATGCCTGGTTAGGCAGATAAAATGCTTGCTAACAGTCATGATTTATTTTCTGAATATTTTCAATCTGTGATTAATTGACTCCATAAATGTGCAAGTCACAGACATAGAAGACCAACTATGGTCTACAATGCCTACTCACTTGGGGCCTATAATTCATTATGAAAACCTAGAGAAATTATTTTTCATTTCCACCTTTTATTCCCAAGAGGAGTTAGCACAGGCAAAGAGCTAACCTCGAAACAGTGCATGGAGCAGTGTCCAGGCTGGCAAGTGTGCCGCTTCTTTTCATTCTGATTTTTTACACTGCAGTTGACTTAAGACTGGATTACTAAGTATTTACCACATAGATCCTGTCTTGGAATTGTCAGAGTGAAAAGCAGAGCTGTTTCCCAGAATGGAGTGGTCTGCTCATGAGGTGTGTGCCATGGGCCACCTGCATATTTGTTTAGTGAGCTTTCACTGTTCACCAACATAAAGACTTGAAGATCTACTAATGAGCCAGACGCCATGCCGCTCCTCTCCAGGAGACGTGATGAAGCTCCAGCCCAAGATGGACGTACACTAGAATCTTCCTGGTAAGACACTGTCTCGTGGTGCTACACAGATTACTAAATATGGGTTAAGCAAGATATGAGAGTTAGTCAAGAAGAGGCTAGATATAATGGGCCAGGCAGTGTTTATATGAATACAGTTGTGTGTTGTTATTTCGGGGCATAAGCTAGCCAGGCGGCCGGAAGCTGGGTGGCAGGAATGTAGCCCACAGCTCCTTCAACATACTAACTTTTTTTTTAAAGTAGTGAAGTCCAGTTTATACTATGGCATTTGAATGTAATTTCCCATAATTACTTTTTAAAATGACATATAGAATTTTGGGGACAAGAAAGTAGCAACAGCATGTCTTTGGAAAGACAACTTTTTTTTTCCTGGTGATGTGACTTAGATGGAGTTAAGACAGGGCAACTATGTATTTTGTTTTATGATTATCAAATGACTTTAACATCACCAAATATTCTATGAGAAATTCACACCCTGTAACGGATAACTGTCTAAGAGCAATGGCCCATTTCCAGCCCCAAGAGCAATAACTTCAAGGAGGGAAGAGGTATCAGATAAAAGCTGTGTCACATGAGGTAACAAAGGTCACTTGTTAAAAGTGCTCAGCTCCCCAGCACTCGGGAGGCAGAGGCAGGCGGATCTCTGTGAGTTCGAGGCCAGCCTGGTCTACAAGAGCTAGTTCCGGGATCGGCACCAAAGCTACAGAGAAACCCTGTCTCGAAAAACCAAAAAAAAAAAAGTGCTCAGCTCCATAGGCACCAGTGACAAACCCGTATCTTCCTGTCATTACATCTGAAAGTCGACACTGTGGCGCTAAGTGTGAAACTATGTATTAGGAAGAGAGCCAATGGCTGCTGGGAAGTAACCCGCGGCTCTGAGAAGCTCTGGCTTTACAGTCAGCCGGGCCCTGTTTCTTATCCTCAGATCTCCAGTTCCAAGCTTTGTGGCCCTGGGTGAGTCACTCGACACCTCTAGACCCGATTCCTTGGTGAAAACTGAGATGACTGTCTTTTTCATGATGTACGTAGCAGAGTTAAACAAGTTCCTGATAGAAAACAGTGTGTAGTCTGCCCAAACAACAAAACAAAACAAAACAAAACAAAAGAATCAATGGTGGTTCTTAGTACATTGGATTGTGTTCCTCAAGGTGCTGGGCTCGGGTCTCCCTCCTCTGGAGCTGCAAGGCCCCCCTTCAGCAACATTCTCATGGTATCTTGTGAGCTCTAGAGCACTGGAGGAAATTAATCTGTCTAGCTTCCAAAGGCAGGACAGCGAGGACCCACTCAGAGATTACCTTCATGGCAAGCTTCTCCTCTAACCAAAGCGAACCATTCTTAATTGGTTCCTGGGTTTCAGAAGTGCCATAGAGCCCTGACCTGTCTCATAAGAACGTTGACTATTTCTCAGGCCTAAAAATTAAACCCTCCTTAATACCCTGACCTGGATCCTGGTGCATGGAAGGGAAGCACACTACACTAAGCTATATACCCTTAGCCCAATCACATTTTTCTTGATCACAATAATCTCTGTTGAGACTTCCATCTGATCTAAAATCTCTACGCACTACACACACATATCAATCCAGCCTTAGAGCTAAAAACCCTCATTCAGAGGCACATTCTCCAGTTGATTTAGATGGTGTAGCAGGTTCCATACACTGGGCTCATAGCAGCTCTCATCCTTCCAAAGCAAAGGCAAGGGTCGGTGTTCAGACAGTACACAGATGACCAAGACTCTAGCCTGGACAAGAGCACACTAGTCCTTGTCCCTCACCTTTGGACTTTGAGCTCTGATTTGGAAGTAAAAACAACAACAACAACAACAACAACAACAACAAAAACCAAAAAAACAAACAAAAAAAAACAAAAATGGTTAAAAAAAAAATCTTCACTGAGGTATAAGACATATCAGCCAGTAAAGACCAGAAGCATTTTTGTCTAATTGCCCATACCATTCTCACGGCAGAGGGCACCGTTCTGAAGGGCACCGGGAGCACGGAACACAACTGAGCATTGCTGGTGCCTGGTGTAACAGACCGCTGGACCACTGCCATTCACAACATCTCCATCACCATCAGTCTTCCCACACCTCAGCTCAAAAGAGCTTCGCTAGAAGAGTGGCTTTCACCCATGCCGGAGGCAGAAGGGATGACCAGGCATTGGTTGGCTTTTAGAGCACCCAGAAGTCTGTGATTGGCAGTCACTATTATCTGCCAATAAAGAAACAGGACATTTGAGCCAGGCCACACCTTAAATCCCAGCACTTGGAGACAGAGGTAGGCGGATCTCTGTGAGTGCAAAGTCAGCCTGGTCTACAGAGTAAGTTCCAGGACAGCCAGAGCTAAACGGAGAAATCTTGTCTTGAAAAACCAAATAAAAAGAAAGAGAAAACAAACATGAAATTCCTCCTGTCTGACATAGCGATCTAAAGGTTACTAATGACAAAGGTACAAGCTCATCTTCCATGTCACTGAGACATACCACCCAGAGAGCTCTTCCAAGAAAGTTCTGAAGTTACACAAATACAAAACCCAACTCTTCACAGCTGTCAGTCAGTCAGAAATTTCCAAAGTGTCTGGTTTCCTGCCTTACATAAGAAGAAGAAGCTAAAAGTGCAAACGAGAGGACAGTTGTGAGAGACCGACACCATCTCCGCTGTGGCCTTACAAGATGAAGAGAGTCCTAGAAATAAAGTGACATATGCCCAGGTCATGGCAAACATGACTTCAGCCTGGTGGGGTCCCACCCCACCCCCCGGGCCCTTTTCAGGATTCCCTCTTTGCCTCCAAGTTCAAATCATGAGACAGAAGCGCAATTGCAGCAGAGAATGCTCTCAAAATAACGTGACCGACTCAGCCTGTTGTTGTCACAAGGCCCGAAGTACAGTGTGGGCGCAAGGCAAATGACCTCATGACTGGATGACTTGGCATCTGCAAGGAGGTGAGCTACTGAAAGGTCACAGCCTGAACTGTGCCCACATTGTTCTCACTGCGGAGGGGACGTCTGAACAAAGGGCAATGAGAACGTAGGGCATGGATGGGTGTGAGCTGCACTTGGTGCATCAGGCTCTCAGGCCAAGTCATTCTATAAGGTTTCTCCATTGCTCTTTGAATGCCGCAGCTCAAGAAGTCCCGTTTAGGAAAGAAGCCTTCATCAAGACTAGAAGGAGTAGCTTAAACATGCTGGTTTGTTACTGAGTGCATATGGGTCTGCCCGGTATCTTCTGCCACCAGAGAAAGATGAAATTCCCACTGAACTGCACAATTAGCACTCTTCTGTCCTACACTAAGCATTCACCACTGTGGAAAGTGTTACACTGTCAGAACCAGGTGCTCCCTGACTCAGCCCATGGAGAAATTCAGTCAACTTTAAGGCACCTGGGACAAGACTAGGGAACGAGAGGTTTCTCATGTAGGGTGCTACAGATGCTGGATACTTGTCTATTAGTCACATGATGCAGAACAACATGGATGTCCAAGCCCTTGTCTTTTCCTTCCGTCCTATCACCTACTGTTCTCAATAGCCTGTTTTCTCATAGAAAAGAAAGAGAACAAATCCCAATTGTCCTTTTTGGAAAAAAGCAATTTTTATAAACACTGGATGGTATGACCTTGGAAAAGACAGGAACAGGGATATGATGACTCAGGAGGCATAATTTCCAGGACCACAGCTAAGGAAGGTAAGGAAGACTCAATTCTGTTAGTAACACCGGTGTATCCACCTTCTCTAGTCTGATTTCTGTTGCTGTGATAAACACCGGGGCCAAAGTCAACTTGAGGGGAGGAAAGGGTTTATTCGGTTTACACTTCCAGGTCACAAGCCATCACTGAGGGAAGCCAGGGCAGGAATTGAAGCAGAGACCACGGAGGATGGTACCCAGTGTCTTGTTTCCTGGCGTATGCTCAGGTCGTTTTCTTATACAGTCTAGGACCACCTGCCTAGGGATGGTGCTGCCCACAGTGGGCTGGGCCCTTCTGCAGATAGAGGATTGCTGAGCCCCCCCTCCCCCATTTTATGCTTACTCTTTGCTATTCTCTATAAAGCTAAGAAAGCTCCACAACAACCTTTTTCGGGCAAACATCTTCAGAAGTTTCCACAAGGCTATGAATTGCCAGGATGCGAAGCCCTATAGCCCCCTGACTGCAAGCTATGATCACTGGACAGCCCACAGTATACTCTTCCTATAACAGCCTAAGTTCCCTGAAGACAAGAGACACACGAGAACACAGGCTAATAAGTTCCTATTTGCTGCCAATAAATCAGTGAAGAGTAAGTGGGGGTGGTGAGAAAACACCCCCAAAGACTCCTTAGAATGTTCTGACTTTTTAGTCATCTCTTACTTTTACTACATTGTTTGTGTCCCATTGAAAGGTGCCTCCTTGCCTTGCTCAATCATAAACAATCCCCACAAAAAGAAAGCTTCTGAAACAGAATGCAACCGGCAAGTCCAAAGGAAATGACTAGTGTGCTTTAGGGTGCAGACTTACGGAAGTCCCCGAACTCTCCCACACGTGAGAGATCCTGTAGCCCACCAGTTCCCCATCCTGCCGCTTAATTGGAGGCTTCATCCATCTGATATCCACGCTACTGTTAGATTCGTTCAGAAGCACAGTGATGTTTAAAGGTGTGACAGACGGAGCTATAAAAGAAAGAGAGAAAGATGACGAGCCATAAGGAAATACCATGTGGACTTTTTCTTCCTGGTTATCGAGTATTTGGGTTTCAAATGTTCTATGAAAGACCCAAACTCATAGTAAATTTACCTTTTTTTTTTTTCAATTAAGGACCATTGAAATGCCACAGGATTTTCGTGTGCCCATTTTATGTGGTGATGCACTTAAAAATAGAGCTTTTTGCACACTGGGCAAGCGCCTTACCAACTAAACTACATCCCTGGCTCTCATATAAGTTTTACAAATAAGGGTTTGGGGAAGCTAAATCCTCAATATCCACTTGCTATTTTAGTAATGTTATAAACACCCAGGGTAGGCTAACAATGAGGAAGTCTGGAAAGGAGGAGGCTGTTGCTCATGGATGCCTTCCATAGACACCAGGGACACTGGAAGTCACAGGCTGGATAAAGGTAAGCATTGTGGCTCTGGGACTGGCAGGAAGGTGAGCTGGTGAGCTCAGAATGAAACTGTCATTATACAGTCCAGAGGCAGGCGACTAGTGGACAGAGGTACCCAGTCAGGAAGTCTGAGGTGATTGTATAGTCATTGCTCAGTATCTTGAAGGGATTCCTATAGGTACCAAAGTTCCCAGGTGCTCACATACCTAGATCCTCCCACGTGCTTTAAGTCATCTTTGGATTATTTATAAAACCTAACACAATGAAAATGTTATAAAAAGGGCTCATATATGCCAGGCAGTGTTGGCTCACTAGGCAGGCAGAACAGGTGGATCTCTGGGTTCAAGGCCAGCCTGGTCTACACAGTGAGTCCCTGGACAGCCAGGGCTATGCAGAGAAATCCTGTCTTGAAAAACAAAACAAAGCAAATAAACAAAAAAAGCTGTCATACTGCCTTGTTTAGAAAATAATGAGGAGGAGAAAGCCCTTCCGGTCTCAGTGTGGGTGCAACTGATTTTCAAACATTTTTCATCCTCAGCTACATGAATTTTGAGTATGCTGATCCTGAAGATAAATAGAGCCAAGTATGCGTGGTGTGTGTATATATAAAGTAATTTAGAAAATTTAGAAAAGACTACTACTGTGGCCTTTCAGGGGTGAGGATCCCACTAGGTAGACTAGACTGGCCTCAAACTCACGAAGATTCAACTGTCTCTGCCTTCCAAGTTCTGGGATTAAAAACATGTACCACCATAGTGCTACTACACCTAACTCCATAACTAAGTATTTTATTTCTAAAAATTTAATATACATATGGAATTATACTCATCATACTATAATAACAACAGAAAAGGAATAAATGCAATACTCTGGGAGCAGTTTTAACATAAACTTGGATACATTTCCCAATGGAAAACTTATTATGTGGCCACTGAAGAAGTTAGGTACACTAAGTATATTAATATGAAAAAACTCAACAAGAATAGCAAAAAGCCAACATTACACCAATGGGGTAGAAGAAATGGCTAAACAGCACATATCAATCCATTTTAATATGTGTGCATATGGTATATATGTATGCGTGTGTGTGTGTGTGTGTGTGTGTGTGTGTGTGTGCAGATAGAGGCAGAGGTCAACTTGGTGTCATCCTTCAGGAGCTGCCCATCTTGCTTTTCTCTGTTTGAGACAGGATCTCTCACTGGGACTTGGGGTTCGCTGGTTTGGCTAGGATAGATGGCCAAACCTAGGAATCAGTACTTTCTGCTTCCCCGGTTCCCCAGTGCTAGGATGCTATGTGTACATTACCATGTTCAGCTTTTCATGTGGGTGCTAGAGACTGAAGACAGCAAACTCTCTACCAAGATACCAGAGCTATCTTCCCAGCTCCCATGTTAACCCATTTCATAAATTAAAAAAATACATGTTTTATGTATGGAATAAGTAGCATCAATAGGAATGATAAGTACAAAATAGAGATCAAATTATATTAATTTAAATTAATTAAACTGTATAGAGATTAAATTATATACTTGTGACTAGCACCCAGCTATCTCAGGCCCTCCAAGAAAGACTTTGACACCCACAAATAAGCGGGAAGCAGTCTTGAGCACCCACCATCTCAATTCCTTCAACCTGCTATGCTTAACTCCCCACCTCTTTATTATAAAAAAAAAAAAAAGATAAAAATGTTGTAATCTGCTGGCCTGGTCTGTCACCTGGGTACCTGGTCCCTTTAAGAGACAAGCCCCACCCACTCCCAACCACCCACTTCCCCCAAGGCAAGCAGATCTCCCACTTACTCACACACTCTCTCTCTCACTCCCTCTCTCCCTCTCTGCCCTTCCAGAGAGGAAGCTTCTGCCTCTCTCTCTTCTCCCCACCTTCTCCCCTCCCCTCTTCCCTTTCCCCTCCATAACCCACTAAATAAACTCTATACCCAAACTCTCTCTGCATGGTGTGTCTGTCTGTCTCCCTTAGAGGCTTCAGGCCACCCCTAGGGGACCCACTGAGGCCTCAGATGAGCCTCATGGGGCCGGCCTTGGGTCAGCAGCCTTAAGAATGATAACAATATGTACAAAGATAAGAAAAAGAAACCAAAGGAAAAGTGGCCAATGAAAAAGAAAACTTGAAATTAGAAACATGATTATCAAAATAATACCTAATAAAAGAGCTGGAAATAAATGAAGTTAGAATAAAAAGATGAAGACTATAAGTCTATTTGAGAGAGAAAATCATGAAAGGAATCAAAGAAGCCCCCAACATGTCTCAAACAGTTTCAAGGAAAACAAACAAAGCAGAAAATATTCAAAGAAAAAATATGCAAGGAAAAGCTTAGGGCCGGAGGGCTTGACCTTCTAAAGAGGTCACTAGATACCCCCAGTGATGTCTGACACACATTCTCCATCATAGCCTATCACAGTATCAGGATCAAAGACAAAAGATGTTCTAAAAGAACAGTCCATGCAGAAAATCTCCCACAGCAACCAAAACAGCAGACAAACAAACAAACACCTCAGAAATAACTAAGATTTTGAGGAAGGGAAGGTTTCTAATCTAATAGTTTACATTCAGAAAAACAACTAACCAATATTTTATGCAAAGGCATAGAAGTCCTCACAGTTTTTATCTCTGCAGGTAAAAACTCCTGGGAAGCTACTTAAGAATGTGCTCAGCCCAGAGAGATAGTTCAGTTCAGCACACAATGATGCTCTCTGTAACAGGTAAGGATGCTCTCAGCCAAGCCTGATGACCTGAGTTTGACTCTCAGAAACCGCAAGGTGGAAGGAAAGAACTTACTCCTGCAAGCTGACTTCTGACGTCAACACACATGCTACGGCACAGGCCTGCACATATGAATAAATGAACAAACAAATAAACAAGTGCCTAGAACACTGGGAAGTAAATCAAGAAAGATAAACCTGTAAGGAGAAGCAAGAGAGTCCCGTGAGGACGCCAAGGGAAGATAGAAAGAGTGATATGAAGGATCAAAGGCGTCGGTGCTCAGGAACCACTTAAGCCTGAGGACAGTGGTAACCCCCATCTATCAGACCCAACACCTTTATAACTCAAGGTCACTGGCCAGACCACACAGAACACACAGGAGTTATTCATTGCTATTCTGGGCAATGCTGTAGTCTTGCTCAACAAATCTTTAAAACAATACGCAACAAGAAGGGATTATTTCTTGTAGTCGATTTTCCACTCTCTGGGGGCCCACCACCCAGCTCTCAGATACAGAGACTTATTCTTACTTATGAATGCCTACCCTCAGTTTGGCTTGGTTCTAGCCAGCTTTTCTAACTTAAATTATCCCATTTCTAACTACATTTTGCCTCTGGGCTTTTTATCTTTCTTCAGTCTATGTATCTTTCTTTCCTTCTTACTCTATGGCTGGCTGTGTGGTTGGGTGGCTGGCCCCTGGCGTTCTCTTCTCTTTTTCTCACTCCTGCCTAGCTACTGGCTGCTCAGCTCTTTCTTAGACCAATCAGGTGTTTTAGGCAGGCAAAGTAACACAGCTTCACAGAGTTAAAGAGATGCAACATAAAAGAATGCAACACATCTTTGCATCATTAAACAAATATTGCACAGCATAAACAAATGTAACACATATGAAACTAATATTCCACAAAAGTTTTCCATTGGTTCACCTGTGTCCTAAAATAAAGCACACTACTTATTGGAAATTCATCCAACAAGGTGGTTGGTACTACCAACTCATGGCACTACCAAACAGTTCTAGTCATGAAAAGATTATCCATGCTAGGTGTCTTTAGTCAGGGTTACTATTGCTGTGAGGAAGTGCCATGACCAAAAGCAAGTTTGGGGGAAAAGAGTTTATTTGGCTGACACTTCCACATCCATAATCTATCTCTGAAGGAAGTCAGGACAGGAACTCAAACAGGGTGGGAACCTGGAGGCAGGAGCTGTTGCAGAGGTCATGGAGGGGGCGTTGCTTACTGGCTTGCTTATCAGGGCTTGCTCAACCTGCTTTCTTCTAGTACCCAGGTCCACCAGCCCAGGAATGGCACCACACACAATGGGCTAGACCCTCCCCCTTTGATAGCTAATTAGGCAAATGCCTTACAGGCTTGCCTACAGCCTGACCTTATAGAGGCATGTTCTTAATTGATGTTTCCTGCTCTCAGATGACTTTAGCTTGTATCAAATTGACGTTAAACTAGCCAGAACGCTAGTAAACTAAGAAATCATCCCAGAATGATGCTAGAATAATCAACTAGCCTCACTACATTTGATATGATCTAAAAGTTTAGGCGTGAAATATATAAGAAGAAAAGAATCAAAGCATGAGCGATAAAGACTAGTGAGGATTAGCAGCAGGTTAGGTATGATTACTAAGAACAAAGAAGATTACTGGATCAGAAGACATAAACAAAAGAAACTCTCCAAAGGAAAAATGAGGAGAGAAAAGTGGGGAGGGATTAGCAGGATATCATTGAATTATGGGACTTCTAATGGTCTGTTGTGCACATAGCCAGAGTCCTTAAAAGAGAGGAGAGGTAAAAAGGGTAAAATTATATGAGGAGTGGGAATGTGCTGCTCAGTGATAGAGCATTTGTATAATATACCAGGTCCAAGATTCGGTCTCCAAAACTGTGAAGGCAAGACGGTAGCCTGAAGTTTCCCAAATGCGATACAAACTACAAACACAGAAATGTAAGAAGTCTCTGACCTTCAAGCACAAGGAATATTAGTAAAACAAAGCTAAAGTTTCTAAGTGTTAGATTGTCTAAAATCGGCGCTGAGGGGAGAACTGGAGACAAAATACATCTTATACACAGAAAACCAAAATCTAGTTTACCATCAACATTACATTGGAAACAAAGCAAGAAAGGAAACAGGGAAACACTGTAATACACTAAAGGAAAAACAGGAACCTCCCCCCTTAAAAAACAACAACAACAAATAAAACCAAAATAAAACAAACAAACAAAAAGAACCCAAAAAAACTCTGTACTATTTACTACTTTGCTCCTATAATAAACATCACAGCCAAAGCAACTTGGTAGAGGGAAGGGTTTATCTTATCTTATATTTCCAGGTCACAACCTGTTGTTGAAGGACATAATTACTAAAAAACTTACGGACAGCTGGGAACCTGCAGCAAAAACCATAAAGGGACAAACTGCTGCTCGCTATTTTGATCTCGGACTGAGGCAGAAGGGTCTCTAAGAGTTCGAGGCCAGCCAAGACCATATAGTGAGTCCCTGTCTCAAGCAACCAAATAACCTAACTAGGAACCCTCTAGATAACTGTGAAGTTAGAATTTTATGTAATTAAAAAATGACTCCCCGCTTTGGGTTGCCTGCTATGAATAATAACTTCTGTGCATTATATTTTAATTGAAAATAATACTGGCTTTAAGAATGGTGCCACAGGGCTGAAGAGATGGCTCAGTGGTTAAGAGAACTGACTGCTCTTCTAGAGGACCCGGGTTCAAATTCCAGCAACTATATGGCAGCTAACAGCTGTCTGAAACTCCAGTCTTGGAGAGCCACACCCTCACATAGTCACACAGACATACATGCAGGCAAAACACCAGTACACATTGAAAAGAAAGAATGATACCCCTGTCTTCCCATGTAAAGGAAAATGTTATATACACATAGTACAGATAAGGTTTTTTTTTTTTAACTAAGCCTCTTAAATGACAAAGAAACAGTTTTCTTCCTATCTTATTGACCACCCCACTAAATGCACCAAATGAGCAGAGTGCACACAACATCAGCTATTGGGGAAGGCTTGCCTGATCACACCCCATTGGGAGGAAAGGTTCATTGTATATCTCAGGAATTACCTCCTTCTGTTGTGCTGGCCAGAATCCAAGAGCTTACTGCAGACCAGCCAATTTCATTCCGGCAGGACACACCGATGCTGTAATTAGCCAGGGCTTGCAGCTGCTGGATTTCATACAGATGTGGCGAAGCCGAAGTATTAAAAATCATGACTGAGTCATTACTCAGCAGGTCAGCTTCCTTGACCTGAATGAACAGTGCAGATGTGGACCAGCATTAGTAAGGTGGAGGGAATGCCAGACTTGGGCACACAAGGGCTGGATGCACGTAGCCCTTCCTCTGTGCTGGAGGAAGGACTGTTTTCATTCAGGACACACACAGAATTTCCCATCAGCATTACTTGGGTTACTCATGTCACTCTGGCAACAACTGACACCCTCAGGGAAATGTCTGCACTACAGAGCTTCACTGTGGCAGGCAACACATAGTTACTATGATAATTATGTTATTAACATATTAATAATTATAACTCGCGCTGTACTCAAATGGAAAGTGGTCCCTCTGCTCCCAGATCCACTTGTGTTCTTTTTAAAATTTTTATGTGTATATATATATATGTGTGTGTGTGTGTGTGTGTGTATGTATATAATTGTTTTGCTTGCATGTATATCTATGTGAGGATATCAGATCCCCTAAAACTGGAATTACAGACAGTTGTGACCAGCTTTGTGGGTGCTGGGAATTGAACTCAGGTCCTCTAGAAGAACAGTCGGTGCTCTTAACCTCTGAGCCATTTCTCCAGCCCCTACTTGAGTTCTTAATCTAGTCTTTTGTTTCATAATATGTAATTTTTTCAATAATTTCCAGATCTCATATTAGAAGATACATTTCTTGACTTTTGTCATCATTATTGTTTTATGATAATTTGAAAAGCAAGCACAAAATATCATCTAAGCACATTTTCAGCACTTCCTAAGGAGTCACATGCTTGTGTTTTTTTTCTTCCAGACTCGGTGTTACCACTCCTTCTGACACAGTACCAATGGCTTTGCTGAGATTTGATTACTCCTGTGTAGTTTATCATGAATTTCAAAGTTCACAACGTAGGGTTGGGGAGATGGCTCAGCAGTTAAGAGCACTGGCTGCTCTTCCAGAGGACCTAGATTCAATCCATACTTGTGAGCTAGCAGATGTGGGTCCTGGGAAATGAATTGAGGTTCTCTGGAAGAGCAGAAAGCATTCTTAATCACTGAGCAATCTCTCCAGTCCCTCTTTAAAGCTTTTTATGAGCATATGCTAATTATACATAATAATGGGTTTCGTCATAACATTTTCAGGCATGTATATAAATGTGTTTTAATTATATTCAATCCCCATTGCGTTCTCTTGTTCCCTCCGCCCCCTTCCTCATCCTGGTCTCCCTTTTACTGTTATGTCATTTTTTTTAAAAAATTATTTTTTGTTTTATGTGTACGAATGTTTTGCCTGCATGAATGTGTGTGCACCATATACATGCCTAGTGTTGGCAGTGGCCAGAAAAAAGGCACCAGATCCCCTGGAACTGAAGTTTCAGGCAGTTCTAAGCCTTCTTGTGGGTGCTGGGACCCCCAACCTGGTCATGGCAAAAGTAAATAGTGCTCCTAGCACCTGAGCCATCTTCCAGCACCATCATGGCTTTGTGTGTGTGTGTGTGTGTGTGTGTGTGTGTGTGTGTAATGAGTTTCCTTAGGACTGCTGACAGGAGCATGTTATTTCCAGAACCACAGGTACCTTACCAGTGGCTACACTACTGAAAAAGGAGTCCCTCTTTCCCTCCCTCAGTAACTGCCCACAGAGCCTCAAGGAGGAGTAAAGCCTATGAGCTGCTCCCTGCTAACAATTAGGAACTGCCTATTTATTCTAAGGAAGGAAGAAGACCTCATAAGCACACACGCTCAGTCCATGACAGGATGTTGGCGGGCCTGGCTTTGTACAGGTCTTGTGTAGGTGACCATAGCTGCAGAATCCAAGAGTGCAATGGCCTTGTCATGGCGGGAAGACCACTGAGCCATGTTTAAAATGTCCAGCACTATACCTTGTTCCAGACAGAACCACCCGCACTAGCCGGGGTTCTCTAGAGGAACAGAACTGATAGAGTATATACAAAGGGGATTTATTAGAATGCTTTACAGGTGGCACAGCTAGTCCAACAATGGCTGTCTACCAACAGAAGGTCCAAGAACCCAGTAATTTCAGTTCACAAGCCTGGATGTCTCAGTTGGTCTTCAGTAGATGCGAGAATCCTGGAGAAGTCGGCTCCAAGGCCAGTGAAGGAACAGGCTCGCAGGTGAGAGTGAGTGTAATGAGGTAGACAGAGCAAGCTTCCTTCTTTACTGTCCTTTCTGTAGGCTGCCAGCAGGAGGTGTGGCCCAGGTTAAAGGTGGATCGTCCCACCTCAGAAGATCTGGATTAAAAGTGGTCTTCCCATTTCAAATAATTTAACTAAAAAAGCAATCTCTCCCAGGTGTGCCCAGCTGCTTGAGTTTTAGATAATTCCAGATCCGGTCATCTGACTTCTGACCCCAGTCACGCTGACTTCCAAAGTACTAGGTAGGTCTTGAAGAAAGTCAAAGTCTTTCAAAGAGAACAAAGATTTTTGAGGTAATCAGAAAATTCTTATCCGGCAATTTACATTTTGGGGGAAACTGAGGTTATCTTGCTGGAAGAGCCTGTCACCTTTGAACTACCACACTCCTTTTCTTCTGGGCGAGGCTGAGGTCCATAAACTCACACTTTAGATCCTGCTCTTTAGATCCTGCTCTTCCGGCTTCCGGCTTCTGTGTGTGTGTCTACAATCTTATTCTAAGGCTGTTTCACGGAGGGATACACATCTTCTACAAACACGGCCTCAGGACTCTCCCCACGGAGCCATGACCCTTTCCCAAGCCCCCTTGTTTTCATGCCACGCCTGTCCTTAGCGTTGTTGACAGAGCTAGTGTGACTGTTGGCTTTGCTTCTTTTTAAAGGCCTGTGATTTGTTATCCCGGGCAGAGGCGGGGACTGAACTCCAGGCCTACGCACGTGCTAGGCAACTGCCTGCCACTGAGGTACACACACCTCTGAGCCTCCTCAAAGTTTCTATTTTGAGAGTCTTGCTAAGTAGCCCAGGCTGCTGGCAAACTTGCGTTCATTCCCCCTTCTCAGTCTCCGAGTAGCTGGGTTGATGACACACTGGGATTTGCAGCCGTCATGCCCAGCAAAAATCTGTCTGCCGTGGAATAATCCTTCTCTACACTCTGTGAATATGTGCCGCTACGACTGGTTTAATAAGCAAGCTGACTGGTCAGTAGTTGAATGGGATACAAACTGAGAATGATGGGATGAGGAAGGGCAGAATGAGAGGAGACACTAGCCAGCCACCAAGGAAGCAGGACATATAGAAAATGAGGTAACAAGGCATGAACCATGTGGCAAAGCATAGAGAAGAAATGTGTTTTAATTTAAATGAACAGGTAGTAGCAAGCCTGGGCTATTGGCCAAGCATTTGCAATTAATAGTAAGTCTCCAAGTTGATTATTTGGGAGCAGACAGTTGGGACAGGAAAACTCCACCTACATCTGTCCTTCTCATTCTATAACATGAAGATCCCTGCTCTTGCCTGGAGTTGCTTTAGTATTGCCCAGTGGTCCTTTCTGCTTATCTCTCTCAACTCCAACAGAAGCTCGGCCTGAAGAGCACGCACAGCTGGCAATGTTTTGGGGGAAGCTAGGAAGCACAGGAAAGGATGGTTTCTATCTCATCCAGTACACCTTTCTTGAATCTCCTTAAAATGTTTATTTCCTTGCCTTTACCGCCATCAAAACCCCACAATTGCCTCCACATTGCCTACCAGATCTACGTTCACAGAGTGAGAGACCTTGGTTCTTAGCAAAAATCTAGTCCTTGGCCAAACTCCCCAATCCCCCCAACACCCCATCCCATTTTGCGTACTCCCTGTTTGGGAATGGGGTTGGTTATGGGAGAGATTAGAAGTGGTTTTTCCAGTACGTGTGTGTATGTATATACATACACGTATAAGTATCCAAAGAATGAATTCCCCTAGTAAGGGAGGTGCAACTAAGGCCATGGGTGTAGTGTTCTTAGTCAGGATAGGTGTGCTTGCAGTTTAGCATAAGGACCATAAATAGACATTTTGGGACATTTTGGAATCCCCTGGGGGATACTATGAGGGTGGCGTGGAGGCAGAGTTCCACCTCTGACTCAGACCTTCTGGGTGACAGGAAGGTACCAGCTGGCCTGAGAAGCCACCACTGTTCAAGAAACAAGGACCATGTGCTTATCTTGGGGGTGGCTTTTTGGCAGAAATTACTTTTTGTTCTTTCATATTAAACTATTCACTGACTTCCTGGTGACCAACCACTAAAACTAAGGTGGAGGAAACCTTTGGCTCTCTGCCCCATTCCCTTTTCCGGAACCCTGTGTGAGCATTTGCAGGCAGGCTCTTGGGAAAACATAGAATTTCTAAAATGGTCCTCCTCTGTGGACCCGGCGGGAAAAGGGCACAAAATGGCAAGAAGCATGCGAAGGAGCTAAAAATAGAAACAGAGTGTGTGTCCCAAAAATGGACGAAGAAAGAAGACATAGCCAGGATCAAAGGAAGGGAAAGGGTGTGTCCCGATAGGTAGCAGCCAGTTTAAAGGGCGATGAGCTACAATCCGTACTTGGTCCCTTCAGGAAGGGGGACACACTGCAGACAGCTTCTAGACTCCCTGCAGGGCTTCCATAGGAAACAAAGGGTACTCTATTAAGTGTGAAGTTCAGAAAAATAAAAACCACATTTTAAGATAGGTAAACATCGAGATTGCTCGTGTCACTTAGCTGGCTTTCCTGTGTCATTGATTGTCTAACAATTCCACCAGAGATGGGAGCGAGAAAGAGTGAAGGGAGGCTGAGCTAGCTGGTATCTGAGTGCAGAATGACCACATCTGGACCACGCGGTCCAAGCTGGGCGAGGGGAGTCTGTCGTTTGTCTGCCCTGGGATGCTTTTTCATTTAGGCCATGACTCTACGAAGCCACAGCAAAGTCAGAGAGAATGGGTTAAGCTGGTGCTTGGTTCTTCACCTTCCAAAGTGACCCGGTGTTTCCTGACATCCTGCTGTCTCACCCTCCCTCATGTCTACTCTGGGGCTCACTCTCTCAGGGTGGGGGTGGCAGTAGCAGTTCTCTCTGTCTCCTGAAGTTTGTCACTCTCAAGAGGAAAGATATTGCCATACCCCCTCTGGCTCCTCAATTCAGCAGCTTAAACTTGTCGCCTTTCAGAAGCCCTGTCTGTCACTTCAGCTATGTTTGTAAGAATAAATGTCAACACCCATTCCCTTACTGTACTCTATAATAGTGCTCTGAACTCACATGATGTAGGATGGCCTTCTGTATGTGTGTTGCTTTATTGGTTGATGAGTAAGGCCAGGTGGGAAATCTGAACAGAGATAGAGAGAATAGGTAGAGAGTCAAAGAGATGCCATGTAGCTGCCAGAGGAGAAAGATGCTGCTGTAGGAACCTCTCTGGTAAGCCACAGCCTCGTGGCGATACACAAATTTTAAAAAGGGGTTAATTTAAGATATAAGAGCTAGGTAAGAATACACCTAAGCTATTGGCCAAGAAGTATTGTAATTAATATAGTTTCTGTGTGATCATTCAGGTCTGGGGGGGGGGGGCGGGCAGGAACAAAAGAACAGTCTCTGTTAAAACTCACACAGAGAAAAACTGATGGAATTAAAGGGAGAAAAGTTTAAGAAAAATAAGAGTTGAGACCCTGACCCCTCATTCCCAGTTATAGACAGATAGAAGCCCTAGACAGAAGATCAACAGGGATACAGGATAGACTAAGACAATGAACTGACTAGGTTAAACCATTCCACACAGAACACTCCTGACAGCTGGTTTACGTCATCCTCAGTCCTTGGCAGTCTCCAGGACAGGACATAACACTGTGTCATTCAACCGGCCTTAATAGATTTTAAATGACCGAAATTAACCTAAGCATCTTCTAATGGAACGTTAGAAATAAACGAAGTTGAGGACCTGGCTCAATGGGTAAGAACACTTGCTGCACAAGATTGGAAACCCAAGTTCAGATCAGCAGCACCCATGTAAAAAGCTGAATGCGACTGTGCACACAGACCCTTGTAGACTCAGTGCTATGGGCGCAGAGGCAGGAGAATCTCTGGGGCTTGCTGACTGCCAGCCTTGCTCCAGGTCTCAGTGAGAGATTCTGATGGAGAGTGATAGGGCAGGACACCAGACGGCCTCCTCCGGCTTCCACACATGCAGGGTGTATGCACCTGTATACACACAGGTGCGGACACCACATACACATAAAATAATAATAATAAAAAAAAGTGTGGGATTTAAACACGTTCCTAAATAATCAGAAAAAAAATCAGAAAAAATCATAAGGAAAAAGACAAAACAAAAACAAGCAAGAAACCCATTGAGATGAATGAGAACACAGCAAAACAAAAATCTCATGGGGCTCCATCTCAAGCCATGCTTACAGGGAAATGGACGTCACAGGTGTGCAGCCTAAATGCCCATGTTAAGTTTCTCTCAATGAAGCACGGTGGCACACGCCTATAATGCTAAGCGCTTTGGAGGCAGAAACAGGAAGAGCAAGAGTTCATGGTTATTTATGGCAATAGTGAGTTGAAGGTCAGTATAGACTACACGAGGCCGACTCTGTCTTTAAAAAGTTCATTAATCAGTCAATCGGGAGGATTTCCTGGTGAGAGATTGTAGACACAAGAAGGGCTAGCACTTACAGTGCTTGGCAGATCCACAAATAAAGTCAGGCAGGAATTAAGCCAGGCTGGGAGCGGTAGGGCGAAGACAGATACTGTTTTAGAGATACTGCCTGTTTTTATTTTTCAGAGAAGGAACAGCTGTCAGATAAGAGGAGGAGGCACCAAGAGCAGAGAAATTAATTCCAGTTGGTATGAAAAACATCTGGTTATAAACACAAAATTCTCTGGAAGTCACTTCTCCAAACTGAGCTGGAATGACTAATCTATGTTAGGGTAATGTACTTGTCTTTTTTAACATTCATTTTATGTATTACTATTATTATCATCATCATCATCATCATGGGGAAACACTTTGTGCCACCATACACAACTGGAGGTCAAAAAACCAATTCCAAGACTCAATTCTTTCCTTCTACTGTGGATTCCGGGAATCAAACTCAGGTTATCAGGTTTGTGTGGCATCTCGCTGGCCAGGTTAACATGGTTTTAATGAGAAAACCAGATATCCAGGAAACCAAGAACAATTCCGTCTCTATGCATGATAAAGGACAAGGCAGAATCACACCGTCAGCAGACAGTCCCCAGGTGACTGGTAACTCGCTCCTATACACTGTGTCTGACCTGACTGTGGAGTCAGTGGTTCTCTAGCTCTGGTATTGGCATCAGATCTTCACGGGCCTGAATTCTGGTCCGGTCACCCACAGACTAGGTGAGTGTGCTGAGCACACAGCACTAGTGTGTTCTAAGCAAGAGATACATATCCACAGAATGCCTTGGCTACAGTGGGGACTCAGTAAATAATAATATTATTGCCCATGTCTGTTTTCACACAAGGAACACTCAAGAGCACAGCCGATCGCATGACAAGGTATCATTTAGGGCGACTTGCCCATATTTTCCCCAGCCCTGTTTCATAGTAACTTTAGGTACTGTTAAAAGGAACTGAAGATTCTACAAGACCAGCAATGCTCAGGTTTCCCAAGAGACAGTGGCTAAGGGGCTTCATTTATCAGTGCATATGACCCACCTTGGGCTGGTGCAACCGTCCTTCGTAACACCCGCCTAGGAAGAGCCATACTGGGAAGGAGGTGTGTAGCCTCCTGGACCCTTTGTCACAAACCAGCTCTCATTCAGGGAGAATTTTTGGAATTTATACAAATCTTGGTAATTTATAAAGAATTATTCCCGGCCTCGTGTCCTTTGTCCTTGGAGACATGTTTCTCTCCTGGTTGGGTCCTAGGTCATAACGCAACACTGTGGCCAGAGCATCAGAGACAGCTGCGATGGTGGACACTGAGTAGGGGAGTGGACGGGGCTCTGAGCAGAAGTGGAGAAATTCCAGCCACGCCCACCCTGGGGAGGAGGAGGAAAAGCCAGAGCGCATCACACAGCACCTCTCCATTCTGGAGACTTACCTGAACGCTGCAGTTCTGAAATGGGGAGAATCCATCGAAACCTGGGACCCAGGAGACCAGGATGCTGTGTGCTGTGCTGCTGAGGATGTGGACTTCAGTTGGTGGGGAGGGGATTGCTATGGAAAAACAAACACACACACACACACACATATAATCACAATGATAAGTCACAGGGTGCCACAAGTATCAAACCAGTGGCTCTCAACCTGTGGGTCTCAACTCCTTTGGGGGTCAACCACCCTTTCACAAGGGTCGTCTAAGACCATCAGAAAACAGATATTTACATTATGATTCATAATGGTAGGAAAAAGAATAATTTTATGGCTGGGGTCACCATAACATGAAGAACTGTATTAAAGGGTCACAGAGTTAGAAAGGTTGAGAATCACTGCTCTAGACCAAGGTGATCTTGGTTACATAGACAATAAGTTTTAAAATAAATGAAAGAAACACAAGTTTGGCCTCAGTGCTGGAGAGACAAGGGAGAAGGACCAGAAGTTCAAGGTCACCTGTCTTAAAATAAACACATAAAAATTCCACAATCCTTGGAAACAGGATTGAAATTTTAAAGAAATTTTTGGTGAGATTCTGCATGATGCATAAACATCAATGCTTCCATTTTATACATGTCTAAACTCTAAGAAGTTTAAACCTCAGTAAAAGGTCTTTACAAGTCTACACCCACTCGTGGATTTCTGAGATTCCCAACATGCCTTTGAAAACTGTAAGAGCGGAATTTGTAGAAAGGAAGGAAGTTATACACTTCCTCCGGGAGTCACTTTTAGTTTGCATTTTGGTTTTGTTTTTTGTTTTTTTTTGTTTTTGCAATGGACTCTTACAAAATGCCATTTCCTATCCTTCATCCAGTTGATTTACTGAAACCGAAATCATGACTCTAGCTTTAGTTTTAAGTTCCCTTCTCTGCAAGTCCAACCTTTAACTTATTCAACACGGTCCACCTTTTCCTTGTGCTTCTCTGATTTCCCAAGAATAAGAGAAAAGAACCACGAACCCAATCTTGATTCTCCACTATCTAAGGATCAGAGAGTAAAACATAAAACGTGTTTGCGTTTCCATGAGTAAGGGTGACGATATAAAGGTAAAGTGGAATTTGCCTCTAGGTTTTCCTTTCCTTCCAGGTTTTGGGTTTAATACTTGCTCTTACACAGGTGTAGAGGACAGGTGATGAGCTGCAGTGTCTCTGCTCACATCTGCCTCTGATACTGTCAATCAACTGCCCCGTGAGCTCCCATCTAGTGAAATGCAAGCGCGCATGGGAGAGGAGAGGAGGAGACAGATGGGCATCCCTCTCGTTCTAAGTCTCTCTTGTTAGACTCAGATCAGGCTCAGTTGACCCACTCTTCATAAGAGTCCCTGGCCAGCCCACCTCTGGGCTCTTCAAGGGCTAATGAGGACAAGTACAAGGTGGAGGAGGGAAAAGTGAAAACAGGTAAAGCTTCCAGCTTATTTTCTCCCTGTGCTAAGCAGGACCACACTGGCTGATGCTTAACAATGATTTATGCGCCAGGTACTGCCATGCGTGTTCTACTTATATTAAATCATCAAGCCTCAAAATAGGTAGGCTTTATAATCGCCCCTATATCTTCTTTCCCAAACAGCACTGACACCAAAGAGGAGAAGGGACTTGTCTACTGTCACAAAGAAAGTCAGTGGGCACGCCAGACCCCCAGCAGATGGTCAGAGCCCTGGCCTTCCTGCTCACCTTTGATGTTGATCTGCACACCCTTGGTCACCGTGAGTCCTTTGTCATTGTGGGCCTCACAGCTGAAGACGGCTGTCTCGGTCAGACCTGGGGTGGAAGGACACTTGTGAGATTCGAAGCAGAGAAAGAGGTTGTGCTGTGCTAGAAAGCTGTGACTTGGCCACCTTTGAGTCCTTGGTTCAAAGCTTCTAGCCTAAAGTGCAAAATTAACCTAAAAATATGCATAAGATACATAAAAGATGTAGAAGATATAGTGCCAGCTACAGGAAAACAAGCCCGAGAAGAAGCTACTGGTACCCAGAGCAGGGCAGCCCTGGACGCGGGGCAGCTGCTTTCCTTCGTTCAATTTTTGAATTGTCAAGGTAGTGAATTTAGACTTTTTCTCCTTTCTTTTTTTCTTTAAGTAGGGGAGGGGTTGAGACATGGTCTCTCTATGTAGTTCTAGCTGTCCTGGAACTCATTCTGTAGACCAGCCTGAACTCTATAGACCAGCTTAAACTCACAGAGCTCCGCCTGTCTCTGTCTCCTGAGTGCTGGGATTAAAGGTGTGCACCCCCACCTCCAGCCTTAGTTTAGTCGCAGACACAGCAAACACCACACAAGGACGTGCAGGCAACGATGGGGCTCATCAAAGAGGAGCAGGAACCAAGGGAAAGAGTTTCCAATGCCTAAGGCTGAAACCGGCAGAGCAAGAAAGTCATGTGACGGTGAATTACAACCCAAAGTATGCAATACAAAGAATCTGAAACTTTATTAGGTGTTATTAACTTTAATAGGTTTCAAGTCCTCTATATTGATAAAAATGGCAGATTAAATAAATGCTCCAGTAGTCTATATAGAGTCTCCTTCCTTAAGGAGGCGGGTGGAGCATGCCTTGGGAAAGGGGAGAAGGAGGGCAGCCTTAGGACACAGAAACAGACCACGCCCATCTCTGCCAGGCTGGCCAAAGTTCAGGCCCGGAAGTGACTGCTCATGTTGACAGAATGTACCCTGAGATGATAGAAATCGCAGCTCCGTTCTGTGACAGTCCTCTCGAAACGCAAAAGCTTGTTCTGTTCATATGAGAAATATCAGACAGGCCCAAGTTGTGGGAGTCTATAAAACACCTGCCCAGCAATCTTCAAAACCACCAAGACGAGGAGAACAAGGAAAGTGTGACCACAAGGTGCCTAATCAGACAGACACAGATGACTGAGTAGAGTGGAGTGTGACGTCCTGACGTCTGGGACAGGTGTTAAAAATCTGAGAAAATCTGAATGTTAGCTAATAAAGATGTATCAGAATTGAGACATGGTAACCAATTTATCACACTACTGTAGGGTGTTGAAAGTAGGAGAACATGCAGAAGGGGTCTATTGAGATTCTATGTTCTATCTTAACCGTTTTCTTTAAAGATGTGTATATCTGTGCCAGTGCAAGGATGGAAGTTAGAGAACAAAAAGGAATTGATTCGCTTCTTCTACCATGCTGAAACAGAGTTTCTCTTGCTTCAGCTACTGTGCAGCCCCCTCCTGGCTAGCAATTCCCTGACTTTGAGTCTCATCTCACCATATTAGGAGGGCTGGGATTACATATGAGGAGGGCTGGGATTACATATGATGAGGAAGGCTGGGATTACATATGAGGAGGAAGGCTGGGATTACATATGAGCAAGGCTGGGATTACATATGTGTGCTATTGATCCAGCCTCGTCTGGATGTTCTGGGGTGGGGAACTCGGGTTTTCAGACTCATGTGGCTGGTGCTTCACCTGCTGACCAGCTCCACAGTTTTACTGCACAATCTAAAACTATTTTAAAATGTAAAGTGTTTTTTTTTTTTTAAACAAACTTATATGTACTATGCAGTTGGTCTGGAAACTTCTATATCTTTAGGACACAAAAGCAGTATTACCATAAACTGAAGATAGATACAGTTTTGTTTGTTTTGTTTTTAAAAAGTATGCCACAACTTGCTTTTACCTAAAAAGCTTAATTTGGGTGCTGGAGAGATAGCTCAGTGGTTAGGGCATGTACCCAAACTTAGAGGACCAGAGTTTGGGTCCCAGCACCCATGTCAGGTAGCTCACCGACGTCAGCTCTAGAGCATCCTTGAGCCTCTTCTGGCATTTGGTTCATCTGCACTCACAGGCCCACATACCCACATATAGGCATATACATAATTAAAAACAAACTTATATAGTTTTCTTCGGCCTACTGCATAAGGAATTTTCCATTCAGAGTTTTGAAAATTCCCAGCTAGTCACTAATAAACTGAACTTGAAAAATGAGAGGCAGAAAAACAAAACTGTCTACAAGAGAACAGCAGTCATTAAGGCTAGAAAAGTTGTCCAATATTGATGTCCACGTGGCCAGTACTGTGTCAGGGCTACAGCCAAGTGGTTCCCCACCCCGACACACACACACACACACACACACACACACACACACACACACACACGCTGCTCACACGCATGCACGCACACACACACACAGTGCGGGTAAATTCCTGTTACTTTCCACTCAGAGGAAGGCTCTCCCTGGTGCCTGAGTTTTCCTGACTAGGCATGGCCCCTCCAGGGAAAAATCAACCCTGCATCTCTGCCCTCTGACTCTTACGGTGACTTTTCCTTTCTCTGAAAAACAGTACACCATGAATGTATTTTACTTTTGGGAGACAAGGAGTATTTCTCTCACTCTGGAGGGAACTCCTAAAGCGGATTGTTTAGTTAAACGTTCTTGACCATCTAAAGCACCGAGGACTGTGGCATCGGTCAGGAGCCGTGTCCTTGTGTGTTTGACCACTTCCTCTCAGGTGAATGGTGAAACCGCTCCTGTCTTGTATGGTGACTGAGGCAAATAATCGGTTCTCTGGAACCAGACATTTTCTCTCACACCCCTCACTTGAGTCTGCAGAGGATGCTTGTGAATGAACATCCATGAGGGGTCGTGGCGTGTCTGTAGATATTCTACTGACCCTCAGAAATTCTGAGGTCTACAATGGAAAAATTTTCATTATTTAAGTAGCTGAATAAAATGTGATTGTAGAGATCTTGGAAACAGGCTAGAATGTAGGAACTTGAGCACACTTAATCCCCAAACCTACCTGCAATATTTTGATAGCAACCTCATCCACTGAAATCCCTCTTCTTCCAAGAGTTGAAAATTTCCCCACGATTTTCTGCTTCTCCCAGGAAGTCTACTCTAATAGCATCCATGTGTGTGCTTGAAAATCTTTGAATAGTAACCTTATGATTTTCTTTCTTTGGGGTTGATTATACTTATAGTAATTATCAGGATGTAACTAATTAGTATGAAAAATTACGTTTTTTTTCTTTTGTCAGCGAGGAGGATGACACACAAGACTTCATGTATGACCGACAAGCTACACTGTCCCCCCAGAAATGTATCTCCTTTGCCAGATCAAACTGGAAGGCTTTGTGCATGCTGTCTAGAAAGTCCTTAACCCCGAGACAAAGTACTCAGAGTCAGGCCCAGAGATTTCTAGAGATCCCAGGGACACTTGCTCTCAGAAGTTATCTTACTCTTATAATAACAGTGTCGTTTCCCTTTTCACGTTCATTATCTCACGAGTGTATGAAGGAATTTTCCAGAGGCTGATGTCATGCGGTGATATCATGTGGTCTACTCGTCAGTGGAACATGGGTTTGCATATCTTTGTCTTATATCTTTTCCATCTTTCTAATTCAGTAACCAGAAAAGCATAACTAGTCCAAAAGTTGTTTTAAGACTTAAAGGAACCCTGACACCAAATTCTTTGAGAGCTGATAATCCCGCTGGAATTCTGGGGGAGGGTGGGGGAGGGAGCACCAACTGCTCCTGGCAAAGGGAGGGAGAAGTGAGAGGCAAACAGCAGGTGGCAAACAACAACAACAACAACAACAGACGAACAAACAAAAGCCACCTGCGTGGTACCAGTCCTGCTTTGCAGTTAGGAAAGGGTAAATACACAGAATGGGGAGCAAGACAGGGCCCCTCTCAGTCACCATGTGGGGTGCATTCCGCCATTCTCCGTGTCACAGCCAGGCCTCTGGCTGTCTGGCTACAACATTTCTCTTGACCTTCTGATCTCCCAGAGGAGACATACCCATCCTACCAGCTCCCAAGAGCTTGCAAACACTTGGCTCTCATTTAGAAAAATTAAGTTTTGGCTCCATCAGAAAACACAGGGGTTCTATTTTCATTCATTCATTCATTCATTCATTCATTCATTCATTCGTCTGGGGTTCAACAGATGGCTGCAGGCTAGCATCTATCCTTTGATTCCAATTACTCGTAACAAAACTTTCAGGAAACATACATGGAGTATGAACTACAAAAATCAATTCCAAGCTGAGCAAGAGAAGAAGAGTCGGCTCAACGGCAAAACAGGTTGATTTCACTGAAATCCAGGATGTCATTGTAGCTCCCTGAAGAGGGGCAACTGCCACACGGTTCCCATCCTCAGAAGTGGACGAATGCTTAAAGTGGCTAACGCGGGACTTGATTTTAGATCAAGCAGGAAGTCATTTTTCCTCTTTGTATTTTTTTTCCCAAAGTGTACACAGGGTCAGAAAAACAGTTCACAGCAGATGCCTCAACAGCACAAGGCACCAACACCAAACTGGAACTCCCAGAGATGGCTCCAGCACTGCTCCGTATAGGCAGGAAGTTCTGCCCACAAGCAGAACTGATGCCAGCAGACAGAAATGGAAACCCATCCAAACAAAGGCAACTCTCTCTGAAGCTACACAGGCACGTACAGCTCCGGGGCACCCTCTCCACCCCACAAGGTGTCCATTCTCCACGTGCCAGGGACAGAACCAGAACCTCCTTCTAGGCAAGAGCTCCACCACAGAGCCACACCCTTGCCCCGTGTAACTTTTCCCTTAAGCTTTTTTGGTTTAGCGGCACTAACTTCCCAAGTAGTCTCGTCGACACAGCCAAACTAGCTATGCAGAGTGATGAGCAAGAAAAACCAGCTCCTGCTCCCTTACCTGGCTCCCTCTGCGGAGAAACAATAGTCACCAGGTTGGAATAAACCTGAGTGTTTTATAGCCCAAACCCTTGGGGCTTTCTGGGGAGAAAAGCATCAGTGAAACTCAGCTCC